CTAGTGAGGATGTAGTATAGTGCCGCATGCTGGTTTGTTGTAGCTCTTAGTGTAGTGTGTTGTAGTGTGGTGTTGTATGCTGAGGCGTTGTATTTTGTTGTAGGGCGTTGCAAGGTTGATTTTGAATGATGTGTGGATGTTGTATGGTGTTTAATGTTGTGGAGAGGTGCTTGTTGGGATATCGTATGATGTTGTATGTTGGGGTTTTGGGGATGTATATTATTGATGTGGTGTGTGGGAGGATTTGTATAATGTTATATATTTAACCTTGGGGTATTATATATTGATGCTGTATTGTAATAGTGTATATTGAGTCTGTATTGTGATCTTTAATGTAATGACTGTGATGGGTGTTGCTTTATTGATTTATTTATTAATAAATAAAGCTTGTTCTGTAGATAAACTCAATATTCTTGTTTTACACCATCCTTATTATCCAACCCTTACTACTGAAGCACCAAATTACAAAACAAATTTTACTTGTTTCTGAAAAAGGGGGGAAATTAACCCTCTTTAAGGCCAAATTTGCTGCACGCCTTCATCAGTCATTCTTTAAGTAAGATAAATGGAGAATATCTGGGACTTAGGTAATGAACGATCATTATTCATGCTCATTATTTTACCATTCTTTATGAGCAGTCTTCATTATCCTTTATCCGTGGGTTAATTTTCTTTGGGGGGATTTTTAACCTTTATGTAAATGTGAAAATGTCGTGTCGTTTACTGGATGTGTTTTGTATTTACATGTATAGTGTATATAATACAAAATGGTGTAAGTTTTTTTTTACATGTTTAGTATACGTTGCATGTCATGGGGTACAGACTAGATTTGGTACTTAAATGTGAGAATATTAAATAGTACTCACATTTAACCTGCTGCTTGGGTAACAGCTTCTCCACCAAATTAACTTACCCTGGCTCAACCCTGGAGGGGGCCAACCAGGGCTCAACCCTGGAGAGGGCTCAACCCGCTCAACCAGGGCTCAACCCTGGAGAGGCCACTCCAGACCGACAAACCAGAACGAAACTCCAAAGTCTCCTGAGACTGATGGCTGCCTACTACACACACACCCTATGCACCCTATGTGGTCTGGTCAACACACACCCTACCTTCGGAAGGACACTCTGGGTTTAAAGGCGTGTGCTGGGGGAAGTACCCAGTGTACAGGTTCGAATCTCATCATGGCTTCTACTGATTTTCTCTTTGATACAACAAGTGTAATGTGATTTCACATCACACAGAGAGTAATCACACTAACGTGACTGAACTAATGAGAAAATTCCGTAGGAGCAGTGATGAGGGTTCGAGCCTTTGCAGAGGGATTTTCCAGACAAACGCTTCTAGCGCCTAGACCACGTATAGAACTCCAGGTTGCGATCCTTGTGACCATGTCGTGGTCTAGTCGCTAGAGCGTGTGCGTAGGAACACCCACCGTTTAGGTTCGAGCCCTCAGCACGGCTCCATACGGATTTTCTCATTGTCATTACTATTAGTAGTAGCGGTAGTAAGAGTAGTAGTAGATTTAGTAGTAATATTAATATTAATGGTAATAATCCCATTTCACATTTTACACAATATTCACATTTTCTTTAATAGTGGATCTAGTAGAAGAATTTGAAGCAGTAATATTAATTACATACAAAAAACTCCAAAGATAACACAAAACCAATTAACCTTTACTCTGAGAACTCCGGGGGGCCGAATTGATCAATTCTTTACTTAAGTGAAAGACAAAAAATTTTCATATCATCTAGTTAGAAACCAAAAATTATGAACTTTACCAAAACATTTCGAGAGCCCCAGATTTGTTCTGATTACTTATCAAAACTGGTAAGACTCAGAGTGTAATTTGCTGTGAATTAAAAAGCAAAGTTTGTATCTGGGCTCATTAATGATCCCTTAATTAGCTGTTTCATCTATGTGACATTAATAACATTAATATTACAGGCTGGAAATGTTGAGCTGATTAGGTGTATTGGGTAAAAGGTAAGGGAATTATCAGGAGAGAGCGCTAAGCCATTACCATTATTTAGTACTTGTACCGGGTAGGAGATTACCGGGAAATGGTGTACCGGGTAATAGATTACCAGGAAATTGTGTACCGGGTAATAGATTACCAGGAAATGTTGTACCGGGTAATAGATTACCAGGAAATTGTGTACCGGGTAATAGATTACCAGGAAATGTTGTACCGGGTAATAGATTACCAGGAAATTGTGTACCGGGTATTAGATTACCAGGAAATGGTGTACCGGGTATTAGATTACCAGGAAATGGTGTACCGGGTATTAGATTACCAGGAAATGGTGTACCGGGTATTAAGTTATCAGGAAATGGTTTACCGAGTAGAAGATTATCGGGATATAATGTACCGGGCAGGAGATTACCAGGATGTTGTATATTGGAAAGACCATTACCGGAATATAGCGAACAGGGAAGGCAAATACCAGGATACAATGAATATGATCTTAAATAACGTGAAATAATAGAAATAGCGAGTGGATTATTCTTCCTGCTGTTGGATAATAACAAGTGAATTATTTTCTTCTGATGTTGGATAATAACAAGTGGATTATTCTCTTTTGTTGTTGGATAATATCCAGTGGATTAACGTCTCCTGCTGTTGGATAATAAAATAATAACAAGTGGATTATTCTCTCCTTCTGTTGGATAATAACCAGTGGATTATTCTCTCCTGCTGTTGGATAATATCCAGTGGATTATTCTCTCCTGCTGTTGGATAATATCCTGTGGATTACTCTCCTGCTGTTGGATAATAGCCAGTGGATTACTCTCCTGCTGTTGGATAATAGCCAGTGGATTACTCTCCTGCTGTTGGATAATAGCCAGTAGATTACTCTCCTGCTGTTGGATAATAGCCGGTGGATTATTCTCTCCTGCTGTTGGAAAATATCCAGTGGATTACTCTCCTGCTGTTGGATAATATCCAGTGGATTATTCTCTCCTGCAGTTGAGAAAATTATTATTAATATTCACTAGTAATATTATTACCGGGTATTGTTATTCGTTAGTAAATTTTTCGCTCACTACAACCACCGTCCATCGCATCAACCGCCATTGACAACATAATATAAATTATTGGATAAATTTCTTTTGATTCTGTCATGCTTTATAAATTCATCGCACCTCTAAAATAATTAGCGACCATTTACAATGATTAAAGCAACGTCATCTATTACAGGCCAAGTCATTATCAGTCAGTTTAATAAGGCAGTAATGTGTGTGTGTGTGTGTGTGTGTGTGTGTGTGTGTGTGTGTGTGTGTGTGTGTGTGTGTGTGTGTGTGTGTGTGTGTGTGTGTGTGTGTGTGTGTGTGTGTGTGCTCACCTATTTTAAATCACCTATTTGTGCCTGTTGGATCGAGCACTGACTCTTGGATCCCGCCTTTCGAGCCATCTGTTGTTTACAGCAAAGACTCCGGTCCTATTTCCATGTCATACCTAGTTTTAAAATTATGAATAGAGTTTGCTTCTACAACCTGCTCCTTAAGTGTATTCCATTTTTTCACTACTCTCACGCTAAAAGAAAACTTCTTAACATCTCTGTGACTCATCTGAGTTTCCAGCTTCCACCCATGTCCCCTCGTTCTGTTAGTATTACGTGTGAACATTTCATCTATTTCCACTTTATCAATTCCCCTGAGTATTTTATACTCAGGGGATAAATTTTATACTCATTGAGTATAAAATACTCATATCCCTCCTCTCCCTTCTTTTTTTTAACTCTGGTGTGTGTCTGTGTGTGTGTGTGTGTGTGTGTGTGTGTGTGTGTGTGTGTGTGTGTGTGTGTGTGTGTGTGTGTGTGTGTGTGTGTGTGTGTGTGTGTGTGTGTACGTTCGTTTATGCTTATGAATGAGTGGGTTTGTGAATACTCTCCAAATTATACTCCCCCTAATTATGCTGGCGGTGGTTGAGCTTCGGGTCTTTGATCCCGCCTCTCAACTGTCAATCAACTGGTTCACAGGTCTTTAGCCTATTGAGATATATCATATCTACATTTGAAACTGTGAATGGGGTCAGCCTCCACCACATCACTGCCTAGTGCATTCCATTTGTTAACTACACTGACATTGGGACAGTTCTTTGTAATGTCGCTGTGGTTTATTTGGGTACTTAGTTTCCACCTTCGTCCCTTGTGCGATTAGCACCCGTGTTAAATAGCCTGGCTGTGTATTTCATAACAGTTCCCCATGATAATTTTATATATCGTGATCATGGCTCCCCAAACTCTTTGGTCTTCCAGCGACGTGAGTTTCAATTCACGCAGATTTTCCTCATAACTCATACCTCGTAGTTCTAGAACTAGTCTAGAGCCATATGAACCTTCTGTAACTTCATCTTGTGCTTCATTAGGATTAGACGCCTCGCTGGAGCCGCATACTCCAGAATTGGTCTGACATATGTTTATGATTCTGTTGAGGGGAGAGGGAATTTATGGGTTGTCGATCTGAGGATATAATATATGATTCTACAAAATATCTTAACGTAATTTTTGGCGCAAAAAATTAGATTATATTGATCAAATCAATGAAGATATTAAGATGTATGGTTTAACGCAGAGGGCAGAGTCTGCCAGCACTTCAGCCAGTGACACACTTGACCGCAGTGACGACTGTCTGCTCATAATGTATTGACAACAAACCAACACATTGTACTTGACATATATATGACTTATTTTTGCCAGTGTTTTATATTTATGAAGAGAAGACGTCAACCCGGAAGACCATACAAGGATCACTACATCCATAAATAACATATATACAAAAGACTGCTAAAGTGTTATTATTATTCATATTATTATTGATGTTTAGGAGAATACCTTACCCCCGTGCCACGTCGTGGTACAGGGGGTAAGGAGCGAGGCTGGCTGTACCTTGATCGCTGGTTCCAGTCACCTCATGACTTCAATTGATTTTCTCATTATTATTATCCTAAAAGATCTACCTGTGGCATTACACTTCTTACCAGTTGAGGACCTACCTGAGGTATGCTCAAGACAGCGCTCAAGACCCAGACGAAGATGATGCCGTAGCCAGAGTGCCGTTGAGTGCCGGATCGTCTCATCGGGTACCTCACCGCAGTGAACCGGTCCACTCCGATGAGAACCAAGATGAAGGTGGAGAGATACAAGCTGAACATTTGCAGGTACTTGATGAGCTTACAAAGAAAGTTTCCGGCCACCCACTGCACTGTGAAGGTCCAGATGGACTCGGCGGTGAGGCAGGTGAACGTGACAAACAGGTCCGCCACTGACAGGTGGTGAATGAGCGTGTAGACGGTGGAACGGGAACGTCTCTTTTCCCTGGCTATACTGACGATGGTGGCGGTGTTGCCCACCAGAGAGAGCGCGGCCATCACAGCCAGCACGATGCTGCGGACCTGAGACTCCGAAGTGAACTCCGGGGCGTGGTTCAAACACGTCAGGTTGGGCAGGGAGTAGTTGATCTCCAGCAGGAAGTCGCACTTCTCCCGCGGCAGTACTCCGCCCTCCCACGCTGACACGTTGAGGTTCAGAGTCGCCAGAATGGTCTCCGTCAGCGCCTCCGATGTGTCTTCTGTATCCCAGAGAGCGTCTGTAGTGCCTTCGGTGTTTACAAATCTTCCCGTCGAAGCTGCCGGCTCCAACAGGTTAGCTGTGACCTCGTCCATCATATCCAGAGAGTTGGGCATTTGAGCCATGTCAATCACAATATACTTCGTTCACTGCTAATTCTTGTGCCACACACGTATGTTGCGCTGACCTTTGACCCACATATGACCTGTCATCTGCTCACTTACACTAACGATATGTTTTACATGTGCAATGATTATAGTTGGGGTTCATGTGCAGACTTCAGAGTCACATGCTGCAGTCTGCATAGTAAAAATCCATTTTGGTTTTTAGATGTTAGATCTTAGATGTTTTTCTTTAATAAATGTTATATATAAAATATTTTCAGAATGTAATGCTTATTGTTCAAGTCATTTTTACTACTATTTGTTGTTGTTGGTTACCACTCATAACAAAAATAAACACCCGTAGTTTATAATGAATATTATTATACAATGCTTTGCTATAATGTTCGTTATAATGTTCATAGAAAACGACCCTTGCCCCTCAGGCAGTAAGAGGGGTAACTAAACATCTGGAACAAAACCTTTTATCAAAAAATATTAATCACAGAAATGCTGCCTCCGCAAATCTTAACACTGAATACGGCAATCAAAACATAATTAGCACAACTTTGACCATCAAATGCTAACTCTACCCTTGAACTTTATCCATTAAGCTCAAGCAAATTAATCTCGAGACATAAATGAACTTTGCAAAAACTGAAGCAAAAATATAAATGAAGAGAACGTATTTTCTTTAGGAATTTTGTGTTTGAGAGAGAAAGAGAGAGAGAGAGAGAGAGAGAGAGAGAGAGAGAGAGAGAGAGAGAGAGAGAGAGAGAGAGAGAGAGAGAGAGAGAGAGAGAGAGAGAGAGAGAGAGAGAGAGAGAGAGAGAGAGAGAGAGAGAGAGAGAGAGAGAGAGAGAGAGAGAGAGAGGGAGAGAGAGAGAGAGAGAGAGAGAGAGAGAGAGAGAGAGAGAGAGAGAGAGAGAGAGAGAGAGAGAGAGAGAGAGAGAGAGAGAGAGAGAGAGAGAGAGAGAGAGAGAGAGAGAGAGAGAGAGAGAGAGAGAGAGAGTTACACAAACCGTAGAATAACATAAACTATGCCGTTTGACCGTACTAACTGAGCGTGAAAATCAATTATAAGGAGCGCGTGGTTAATGACTTGCATTAAAAAATTAGTTTAACTCAATCAGGCCTCGGTGTGAGGCCTCGGTGTGAGGCCTCGGTGTGGGGCCTCGGTGTGAGGCCTCGGTGTGAGGCCTCGGTGTGGGGCCTCGGTGTGAGGCCTCGGTGTGAGGCCTCGGTGTGGGCCTCGGTGTGAGGCCTCGGTGTGAGGCCTCGGTGTGGGGCCTCGGTGTGAGGCCTCGGTGTGAGGCCTCGGTGTGGGGCCTCGGTGTGAGGCCTCGGTGTGAGGCCTCGGTGTGGGGCCTCGGTGTGGGGCCTCGGTGTGAGGCCTCGGTGTGAGGCCTCGGTGTGAGGCCTCGGTGTGGGGCCTTAGGTGTGGGGCCTCAGGTGTGGGGCCTCAGGCAGGCTCTGGCAGCACTGTAAGCGTCTCATCGATAAACCAGACGATACCTTAAGCCTCTTAGGTTGAAGGTAAAGAGAGACAGGTGTGTGGTGAGGGACAGGTGTGTGGTGAGGGAGGAACAGGTGTAGAGGGGATCAAGAACCAAGCGGTGGAGAGGAGATGAATAACAGACATATGTGATATGTTCTCACATATGTCCAGATGCCAGGTCCCTGTAAGGCTCTTAGGGGGGGATGTGCTCATGTCCGTGAGAGGAATTAAGGATGTTTAAGATATGTCAACGTTTAGGGATGAGTCAAGCCTCGTAAAGCATGAGATAAGATCCTTGTTAGCGAACAACGACGTGTTCAGAATCTTGTACGTAGACAAAAAGCAAATGTAGACGATGAGTCACATTAACGAGGCTGAAGATATGATAACCAAACCACACATACGAAAGTGCAGAAACGGCGACGAAACGAGGATGTTTCGGTCCTGGACCGAAACATCCTCGTTTCTCCGCACAGTTTGATGTTAATTTGGGGCCAGATTCACGAAAGCAGTTACGCAAGTACTTACGAACGTGTACATCTTTTCTCAATCTTTGGTGGCTTTGTTTCCATTTATTAAACAGTTAATGAGCTCCGAAGCACCAGGAGGCTGTTTATAACAATAACAACAGTTGACTGGGAAGTTTTCATGCTTATAAACTGTTTAATAAATGTAACCAAAGCCGTCAAAGACTGAGGAAAGATGTACACGTTCGTAAGTACTTGCGTAAGTGCTTTCGTGAATCTGGCCCTTAGTCATCAAAGAAAGAGAGTATGTTCAGATACATGTAAAGGGTAGAAGGGACAGCAGAAAACGTGATCTTAGAATTATCATTAGAAGGGAAGAGTAATTTTGAGCCATAGAGCGGCTACTGAAGAGGGAACCGTAACGTAACAGAGATCAGGTACCACCTTCGGGGCTTGGATCAGACCCATCTAAAGGGCTCAGAACAGGTGCCACCATCAGGGCGTGAATCAGGTGCCACCCAGAGTCCCCCAAAGGTCCTGCCCACAATGCTGGAACACCTGTCGATTCGAATCCCAGCCTGGAACGACAAGAAGGCCATATTAATCTTATCATGTGCATAAAATATTAATATATATGTATGTCATCCAGAGAACATGCTAAAAGGAATGCTTAGATATACTAGCAGCAGCAGCCGTAGTAATAGTAGTATAAATAGTACTTATTATTAGTTGTTGAAGTAGTATAAGTATTAGTAGTAATAGTAGTAGTAGTAATAATAGTAGCAGTAGTGGTGGTTGTAGTAGTAGTGGTCAAATGTTTAGTGTATGCAGAAATCATTAACTGAATGATATAATTAGTGTACATATTAATCCTTCAAATTGTAAAAAAAATAAAAATATGCTGTATGTTTTGCCAAGATAAATCTCAGCCATCAAATTGGAAGCTGTAAGTTATTTTTCCTATGGCTGTATACCTGCTTACTCCAGCCAGAACTTTAATGATATATGAATCACTGACGAATAAGCTTTCTAAATCTAAATCTAGATAATACGATTTATATTTATCGTGATTACATGTTTTGCTATTGTTACGAACTTTATGGAAATAATGTTCTGAAATTTAGTTTAATAGTCAGTTATAAATGTACAACCAATTGTGAATAAAGTTTTCTTGTTTGATTCGATAATAGCAGCAATTTTATTGTTAATATTACTGTTAATAAATTTTAATTGGCCTATTCTTCTCTGTCTCTCTGTCTGTCTGTCTCTCTCTCTCTCTCTCTCTCTCTCTCTCTCTCTCTCTCTCTCTCTCTCTCTCTCTCTCTCTCTCTCTCTCTCTCTCTCTCTCTCTCTCTCTCTCTCTCTTCTCTCTCTCTCTCTCTCTCTCTCTCTCTCTCTCTCTCTCTCTCCTCTCTCTCTCTCTCTCTCTCTCTCTCTCTCTCTCTCTCTCTCTCTCTCTCTCTCTCTCTCTCTCTCTCTCTCTCTCTCTCTCTCTCTCTCTCTCTCTCTCTCTCTCTCTCTCTCTCGAGCCGTGACGTCAAAACCTTGACCTTGTTTTCCCTCTAGTTATACTGAGGTCGTTTTTAACATGTCCGCCGCCTGATTTATGACCCCGGACGTCCTATCTTGACAGGGGATTATCCGATCGCTCTTGTTGGTCTCGCCGGATACAATGTCAACACTGAAACCCGCTTTCCTTTGAGGTTTTATTAAAACATGGTTCATTTCTCTCAGGTGGGGGGCCACTGTTTGGCCATGCGGTACATTCTCACGTTTTCAGATTTATATTATTACATCACTAAGAAGTCTTAACCTAGATCGTCCGTCAGTTCTCTAGGTTAAGACTTGCTTGTGGGTTAAACCTTGGGAGGAAG